GGAGGTTTTAGCCCTGGACAGAGCCAGGTCACCCCCCAGGATCACGAGAAGGTGAGAGGACAAAATGGAAAGGATGAGACACTGGAAGCAGTACTTCCTCTGTGCCTTGCTTACAGCCCCTTCCTGGCTTAGTAACTCGTGGCTGCCCTGGCAAGGCAAGTCTCTAATTCCCCCCTCTCCCCACAGGCAGCCCTGATCATGCAGGTGCTGCAGCTGACAGCAGACCAGATCGCCATGCTGCCCCCAGATCAACGGCAGAGCATCCTTATTCTAAAGGAGCAGATCCAGAAGTCTACAGGGGCGCCCTGACAGGTAACATCCTTACCCTGGCCTGTGCCCACTCCCTTTCAGTAAATCGGAGAGCTGCTCAGGATTGGGCTCTGCCCTACTTTTCCTCTCCATGTGAGGGCTCATGCTCCTCCCTTCCTTCTGGCAGGCGCCTGGTGGAGGTGCCATCCTCCGGGACAGAAGCGACGCTCCATGGCAGCTGCTTCCCGTTGCAGTCTGAGCTCATGCTGTGTTTTGGGCGAGGTTTCTCCTCCCCCCCTTACATTTTCCCCTCCCATTCATCCTTTTTTTTTCTGTGTGTATATTTTATGATGTTTGAAATAAAGCAGAAGGAGGGTTTGCGTAAGGCCGTGTCTCCAGCTGCCTTGTTTGGTCTCTTGTGGAAGCAGGAGTGGGACAGTTGGGTTCTGGGAGTGGCATGGCCTGGCTCCAGGCTCTTCCTCCTGTCTCCCCAGCACCACAGCAAGAACTTCTCCTGGGATTTCTTGTGTGCTCACAGCTGTTCTCAGGGGTGCAGGGGAATGGCAGATCAGGGAGCTCAGTTTTCTGTCCCTGCTGACTGTGTGGGAAGGGCTCCATATCCAATTCCTGTATCACTTACCACACCGACCTGCTCTGGGAGGGTGGGTTTTTTCCTTCTTCTTGAGCAGAATTCTTTGTCCTTGCATGAGCTGTGCTTGGGGTCAGCCTGTGTGCTGGTGTTTGCCTGCAGGGCAGTGCCCTGGCTGCAGGGGGTGGCAGCAAGGCCCCACAGAAGGGGGGTGCCTTGCCCTGCACCCCAAGGGGTTGCCGTGAACCAGCTCTTCTTGTGGCCCTACAGGGGGCAAAGAGTGGGCTCCCCTCACACCTGCACAGACTGAGTCACCACAGAGGCTTTTATTGCAAAGAAAAGCAGGTTTAATTTACTCTTTCATGCAAAGGACTATATAAATCCAGAAGAGAAGCTTTGGCCCTCAGGGCCTGCTCCACATGCCCCTCTCTTGTCCATCCCCATCCTGTGGTTCTGCCCAACCCACTGGGTGCTCCCTCTGCTCCCTGTTGCTCCAGCAGCAGCATCACAGCCTCTTGCTCCTCAATGGGCCATATGGAGCTGCAGGCCCAGTCAACAAGGACCCCTTGTAGATGGGATCAGCAGCAGCTGCTGAACCTGGAGCTCCTCATGGAGAAGGACACTGTTGCATCATGCCTGGCTTTGGTGCAGACTCTTCAGCAAGATGCTTATCTGTGGCCATTCTCTGGCATGGGGTGTGAGGTGGGACTGGCAGCATCCTCAGCCCTGCTGGGTTCCTAGCCTGGCTGCCACTTAGAAGTTCTCCTTGTTGAAGTAGAATTTGACCTTCCTCGGGTCCAGGCTGGAGTGTTGGTGGCAAGACTTCTGCAGGCTCTTTGCCAAGGCTGCTGGCCCACAGAGGAACACACCAACCACTGACCTGCACACAGCAAGAGAATGTCAGGGGGGCAGCTCAGAGAAAAGTGATTTAAGAACTTTCTGGGGTCCCTGCAACCTGTAGGACATGAGCGTGCTTCTCCCAAAGCCAGTCCTGCCCAGCCTGGTGCTGCGTGCCAGGGACGAGGTGCCTCCCAGCTCGAGCACCCCGAGCTGCTGCCCAGCTCTCACCTGGGGTGGGCTGCAGCCACTGCTGAGAACTCGCTGTTCCACATGGGCCTCCCAAAGATGGTTTTGTGCCTGAGGCCTGTCACCGTGTCCATAGGGGTGTCGAAGCGGAGTGCCACGTTGTTGGCCTGGGCAGAGCAGGGACAGTGAGGACTCTGACCACCACCCATGAGCCCACCTCCAGCCCCTCACCAGACAGGAGCATCCACTGCTGATGCCCACCAAACACTGCTCCTGGAGTTTCTGCCTGCAAGCTGTTGATGTGTTTGCCCTGCTTCTCCTCCCTGCCTTGGCCACCCCTCGTGCCCCCTTGCTCAGGGTTGACTCACAATGCTGGTGTCCCAGCCGGTGAGGAAGAGCCGGTAGGTGAGAAAGTCTGCCTTGCCCGACTCAGCCATCTTCTGCTCCAGGGAGGCAAGCAAGTCATTGAACCAGGCAAAGGCTCCAGTGTCCCGGCAGAGCCAGTAGAAGTAGATCTGGGAAGAAGGGGGAGAGGGGTTGCTCAAGGTGGAGCAAAGCAAGAGCAGTGGAAGGTGCAATGTCAAGGCCAGGGAAGCCCAGCATGGAGAAACCAATAGCTGGTCCCATGGGACACCCCGTACCTTCTTGGTCTTGAGGGCCTGGTCAGCCTGCTGGAATTTGTACCAGATGGACTTCAGGATGGAAGCGAAGGGAGTAACACCAATGCCTGCTCCCACCAGCATAGCCACCTCGTACTGGAACACGTCTTCACTGGCTGTGCCAAAGGGGCCATCCACTTCAATCCTGGATGAGAGAGTGCCTGGGTAAGAGGAACAGCCTCCCTATATCCCCAGGATTGTCCGTTTGGGCTCTCTCCAGCCTACCTGGGCATCTCTGGCTTCTGCTGCTGGAAAGCATCAATGAGACGCTCTGTCCAGTCTCCAGCTGCCCGGATGTGGATGGAGAAGAAGTCCTCCTCGGGCGCTGAGGTGAGGGTGAAGGGGTGCCACTCCAGCAGGGAAATAGCAGGGCAGTTGACGAAGATGTACTGCCCCACCTCCATGTGGAAGCCCTTCTTCTGCATCTGCAGCTCCAGCACTCGGGCAGGGTGCATGACCACCTGTGGGGCAGGGACAGGGCTCAGCACCTGGCTCCTGCCCCTGGGCAAGGGGCTTTGGCAGCAGCCCCTGCCCACCTCCCCATGGCTGTTGGTGGCTGCAGCACCAGCGACTGCGAGGGAAAGACCTCGCAGTAGGCATAGGCTCCTGCACCACCCACCTTTTTGACAACCACCTTCTGCCACGCACGCCAGACCCGGAGGATCCGCTCAAAGATGTAGAGGAGGACAGGGGCCAGAACCCACTTCCAGGACTGCAGGGATGGAGGAGAGCAAAGAGTTAAGGAGGGCCAAGGCAGGAGCATCCCAAGGGCAAGGGAAGGGCTTCCACGCCCCTGCTGCTCTACCTCGGCAGGGATGCTCCCGAACTCGGGGTCTTTGCAGCAGTCGTAGCTGCAGTTCTCAGCTCTGTCGGTGAGGTTGAGAGCACAGCGATAGGGGTGCACCTCCTCCAGGCTCTGCTCCGTCTGCCCGCGCACCAGCCCGCTGCCAGGAGGGAGGTGTGAGCCCAGGAGCCAGCTCCTGCCAGCCGGGAATGGGGAGCCCACAGCCCCGGGAATGGGGAGCCCACAGCCCCGGGAATGGGGAGCCACAGCCCCACTGGAGCCTCCCGCAGGGCACCAGGGCTACCCCACCGGGGTGTGTGGCCTCTGCCCCTCGCTGTCCTGCCTTTGGGGGTGCTGAGGAGCCTTACGCGATGCCGTGGATGAAGAGGCCAGCGAAGTAGATGATGAAGAGGTGGTGTGTGTACCAGAAGACCTCGAAGTAGTTCCTGCGGATGAACTCGGTGGAGGAGGTGACCATGAGGATGAGTGCCAGCGTGATGATGACCCCCGTCAGCCCCGGGATGGTGGTGAAGGCCACATACTCAACGGTCTGCAGGGATGGTAGGATGGGTCAGGGAGGCAGGGGATGGGTGGTGCTAGGGGGCTGTCTGCTGGGGCTGGCACTTACTGTCTGGTTGGAGTGGATGGGGTTCAGCCACTTGCTGCCCTGCAGGTGCATTTTGGAGAGGATGGCGGGAAGGCTGCGGTCGGTGGCTTGCTGGCTCTGGTTGTAGCGCTCCAGGTTGAAGAGATGAGCGATGGTGTGCACAGCTGGACAGGGGACAGGCAGTCACCCACCTGCCCACCTCCAGGCCCCCACCGTGCCCCAGCCCAGTGCGGGCACTACCTGTGAACAGGACCAGCGCGTAGGCCACCAGCTTGTGGAAGGTGAGGTTGTGGTCCAGCTGCTTCCGCAGCGTCCGCCTGCAGCACTGCGGGGAGAAGTGGCAGTGTCACCGTGGGGATGGGGACAGGGATGGCTGTGCTGGCCATGCCACCGTGGGGCACTCACCGAGCAGGTCCCACGGAGGAAGGAGAGGAGGTTGCGGCAGACGGGCAGCAGGATCAGCATGCTGTTGAAGTTGAGGCACTTGGCTGATGCTCGTGCCCACGCTAAGGCAGACTGGGGAGAGGGGAGGGGGTCAGAGCTGCTGTCGGTGCTGCAGGCAGGGTATTTTTTTCTGCAGCCTTGCTGCCCCCCATGGCTCTGCCCAGCATGGTGCTGTGCTGGGACTGGGACGTGATGGGGCCAAAGGATGCTGAGTTGGGGCTGAGTGATGCTGAACTGTAGAAGGGGAGGGAGTGATGCTGAACTGGGGTGGGGTGATGCTGGGCTGGGACAGGACAAGGACCGAGATTGGGACTGGCAGCATGGAGGCACACCAGGCTGGGGATGGAGCACTGGCAAGATGGAAGGGGACAGGACAAGGAAAGGACAGGGGGTGCTGCAGCCCCCACCCCACTGCAGGAGGGCTCTGAGGGACACGTGTGCCTGGGCAGACACCTTACCCCGAGGATGGCCCTGGTGTAGAAGTATCGCTCATCCCAGTCGAAGAGCAGAAAATAGTAGGTGAAGAGGAAGATGTTGATGCCCAGCCAGGCTGCCTATGGGAGAAAGCAGCAGCCTCATGAGGGACCCTAGCCCAGGACCCCCCTCATCCGCCGCACTCAGGTGTGGGTGCAGCCAGAGGGCACCAGCACAGCACATCCCCTCCTGCTTCCTTATCATCTGCAGCAGCACGAACGGGGCTGAGACACACGGGCAAAGGTGGGGAGGGGTGTGTGAGTCTTGCAAAATAACTGTCTTGTCACCCACGTCTCTGTGCATCATCCATGCATGAGGAAGGAGGAAAGGCAGGTGCAGGCAATGCCTGCCTGGTGGGAGGACAGATCCGGAAGGTGGTCAGGGCTGCCTGGGGAAGGCTCAGGAGGAGGGAGCTGGCTGACCCAGCCCCACGTGCCCTTGTCCCCTGCCCAACCCTGCTGCCCCCCTCACTGGCCCCTCTCACAGCCATCAAGTTTTTGCCAAGCTCCCCAAAACACCCCACCTCACATATTTGTTTCTGGGGGATTTTGTTTGCTTTTTTTTTTTTAAAGTAATTTAAAAATGAAAGTAACCCATTTTAAAAAAAAAACAACAAGAACCCAAAACATTTTCCCGTGCATTTGCAGCTCCTGACACAGAGCAAAGCAGCTGGGCAAGCCCTGTTACACCAGTGATGCCACAGCGTGGCACTGGCAGATGATCCCTATGGGGCAAGTTCCTCACCCCTGTGTGGGGGCTCCTGCTTTCATGTGGGGACAACAGGGACCTGGAAGGCTCTCAACCAAAGCAGCTGGGCAATGTGGCAGTATTTTAAAGTTTTGTAGCAGGACCCCCTTGTTCTCTGGAATTTCCTGAAATTTTCTGAACCCCATCCCTTCCCTGGCTGCCAGGGCTTTGCAGGTTGGCTGAGCAGAGGGATGCTTGTCCCTCTGGACAGGACAGCCCGTCAGCCCCCACTTCCCACATGAGCCACCCAGGGCTGTGCCCAGACTTTGCCCCCCAGTAACCCTCCACATCGTCCCAGCCCCTCCTGACAGGTGATCCCCCCAGTCTCCCACACTCACCAGGACGGCAGCTGAGAACCAGTGGTTGACCAGCCAGTTGCCCATGGTGCAATGTCCTGCTGCCTGCTGCTGCCTCCTGCTGCTGCTGCTGCTGCTGCCTGCTCACCGTTTTATGCAGGAGGCAGGCACCCAGCCGCGGGAATGGCACCCTGGGGACTTTCCCCTGAGAAACCTTTGAGGAAATGCCGGGAGGTTTCAAAGGCCACCTTCTGGGAAAACAGGGGTGGCCCATCCTCCAGCCCCGAAACCAGCCCCCAGCACTGGCTGACCCCCATGGGAGGGGGTCCCCTGTGGCCCCACAGCTGGGTGCTGCAGTGCCTCGGGCTGCTCCTCTGTTTTTGGTGTTTTTTTCAATATTTGGGGACAAAAATGTGTTGTTTTTTTTAAGGTAGGAATTTTATTTCCTGGTGGAAGACATGGAGATGTGCCATTCCCCAGCCTCCCTCCCCAGCCTTCACTGCCCCTGTTGTATAAGAAAACCACCAGAGGAGAAGCATCCTGGGGGCACAGCATGGCACTGGTTCCAATATCCATCCTGGGGATCTTACTCTCTACAACCACCTTAAAGGAGGTTGGGGATCGGGCTGTTCAGTGAAGTAACAAGTGATAAGACAAGAGGAAATGGCCTCAATTTCACAAGGGGAGATTTAGATTGGATGTTAAGAAGAATTTCTTCACTGAAAGTGTTATCAGGCACTGGAACAGGCTGCCCAGGGTGGTGGTGGAGTCATCATCCCTGGAGGTATTTAAGAGTTGAATAGACATAGAAGTTAGGGACATGGTTAAGAACTTGTCAGTGTTAGGTTGATGGTTGGACTGTGGTCTTTAAGGTCTTTTCCAACCAAGACAAGTCTGTGATTCACTCCAGGGTGGCTGAATTAAGATTGAGTGCCAGCGGTGCTGCACATCTGTGGGCACCCCAGGGCTGCTGAGCACCCCCAGCCTGGCACCCAGCACCCTCCAAACTGAGCTGACCTCACAAATGGGTGCTGGGGGGAGGATTACAATTCTGGTTCGGGGTCAGGATGCCTGGATCCCAGCAACATCCGTGCCACCATGCCAGCTGCCCTTCCTCTCCTGCCTGTCCTCTGCTGCAGGGTCCTGAGCTCCAGGATGCCTGGTGCTCCTGCTGGGAACAGCAGCCAGGGCTGGGGCTTGGAGCCTGGAGGAACAGGTTGGGCAGGATTGCTCCTTGCTGGTTTGCTGAGTTGCTCCTGGCCTGCAGCCATGGCCCTGAAGCACAGCATGAGGCAGGTCCCTGTCCCACCAAGCTCCTTCATCTCACCAGCTCTGTGGTGGGGCCTCCTCCGTCCCCACTTCCCACTGGCCGGTGCCCAGGAGTGCAAGGGCTACGTGTGCAGTGGGTGTGCAGTGGGTGTGCACCCCATGCCAGCCCTGGCGGGACAGTCCCACCCTCCCCATGAGTCACCAGCCACCTGCCATCACCCAGACGTGCAGCCACAGCCAAGTTTCTTTACTGCTTAAAACAGTCCTGCTGGGCCTTGTGGCCCCAGAGTCACTGTACGTACCACAGCAGGGGTGTGGGGACACCCCAGGGGCTGTGCCCTGCCACGGCAGGCAGTTTGGGCACCCCCTAAGTCCTCTGTGTCCATGTGCATGGTCCCTGGCAGGCAGGCAAGCTCCTGTCCCCTGCCACTGTGGGGACACCACTGGACCTGCTGCCACCACCGAGCCAGGCAGTGCCTGCCTCTGGCACGGCTTGTGCCACGAGCCCTCTCCAGCTCTGGCACAGCCCAGCACTGTCCATCCCTGTGTCCGTAGCCGGATGCAGAAGCCAGGTGCTGGCTGTCCCTCAGACGATGCTGTGCCTCACGCCCGGCTCGTGGGGTGCCTGGAGCTGCAGAGGGGTCCCCGGCAGGTGCCGGCGGCAGCAGACGCAGTGCAGGATGTCGGCGATGTTGTGGTGGAAGAGCTGGCAGCAGGGCTGCAGGTACTGGAAGAAGAGGAGCATAAAGTAGATGCCCAGGCAGTAGCCAAGGAGCAGCTGCACCACCAGCAGTGGAGTGCAGATGTGCTCATAGAAATCCGTCTTAAAGAAGTACCACAGGACGATGAGGACGATGTTCTCCGCCAGCCGGACCACATAGTACACAGCCAGGAGACCCCAGTTCTGTGACTTCTCGATGAGATCCCGGTCAGTCAGATTGAGCTGCACGGCCGACCAGCAGAACATGTTGATGCTGGCAAAGAGGAGGGTGAAGGCACAGAGCACCACCACTGTGCCCACCCGGCTGAAGTTCTTCTCGATGTTGTCAGGCAGGCGGGTGCCGCTCCGCCAGAACTGCACCCAGGGCAAGAAGAAGACCACCAGTAGGTTGGTCAGAGCGACGAGGATGATCCAGTGCTTGAAGACAGAGCTGAAGAGCACAAGGACGGCCACACGGGTGGAGATCTCCAGGCTGCGCCACAGCACCATGCAGAGGAAGGCCAGCGGCCGCAGCTGGACCTTGTAGTCATCGTACTTGACCTGGATGGCCAGGATGTTGCAGACAAGTGCCCCGTAGGTCACCGACATCAGGGAGATGGCCATGAGAATGGCTGCAGAAGGAAAGGAGAGGGGAGTCAGGCAGTGCTGGGGACCAGACTGTGTGCCCCAGCTCTGCTGCCCTGGGTGCAAAGCTCTGGGTGCCAGTCCTCAGTGTGACCCGCAGGGTGCCGAGCACCGGCGCTCGCTGCAGGAGGCTCAGTGTGAGCCCTGCTGGGACAGCTCATGGCTGGTGGTGACAAACCCCTTGAGGGGGTGGCTGTGGGAGGAGCTGCAGGCAGCAGGAGGTTCTGCTGCCAGATTTCTCCCTACACCAATAAACACAAAGCTTTTGCCAAACTGGGGCCTTTCCTGTGTTTGAAGCAGGCACAAACTCCCCTGCCCTGTGCAAGAAATGCTGCTCATGGGGGAGTGGGTCATGGTCTGTGCTGAGAGCATCCTTCTGCCCTCACCTGAACTGAGAACTGGACCCTGTAGCCTACCATTCACCCTGGGAACATCTCAAGAACATGCTTGTCTGGGGACTGCAAAGCCAAGGTCATTCCTATGGAATACCAGCAGCTGCTCACATTCAGCACAGCCAGGAAAACCATAATGGACAAGAAGGGAAGTGTGTGGCTGGTCCCAGCCCCACTGTGCTGGTGGAGGCTGCAAGATGTGGAGCTGAGACACCTGAGCTGTGAGGGAATTGTCCAAAATGTGCCAACAAGGATTCACTTCCTACTTCTGCTGCTTAAGGAGTGCTGGGGCTCCTCCTCTTGTCTCCACCCCTCCTACTGCCCAGAACGCCCTCACAGGTGGCTGTGGCCAAGGAAGGGGTTTGTATGGAGCATTCCCTTGTTCCCCTTTCCATGTGCCTGCTGTGGGCATTCAGGGCAAGGCCTGAGCTCCTGGCACAGCTGGGAGCAGGTCAGGGAGGGCAGCTCCTTCACCGGGTGCTACAATCAGAAAGGTGCAAGAGCCTCCTGCTCACCTGGCTCGTTGGCCAGTGGGATTTAAAAGCTTGCTCCCACACATCTACCCCCTGAGCTCACAAACACTGCGGGACCATGCAAGGGAACCTGAGAGTGCTGGGCTGGGAGCTCCAGCCATTGGGAAAGACTCAGAAATTCTTCCAACAGAGGGACCATGGGGAAGCCAGAGCTCGTAACTGGCCTGAAAAATCCAGTAACTGATGGACACTGGAGCAGCCTGGAGCAAGGGTATAGTGTCTTTATGGGGCAGGCACTGGGTGGATGGCACAGCTCTGTAGGGCAGACATCTGCAAGCACTGGGGCCGGGAGCACAGCCTGGTGCCTCGGTCACAGCCAGCTCTTCCCAGCCTCTCTCCAAGCTGGAAAGCAGAGCACTGGGTGTGGGAAAAGCAAATGAGGGGATGGATGAGTGCCTATCCTTTGCAGGTTGTGCTCCATGATTAGGGAAGCCTGGTGGGAGCTGAGCCTCCAGCTAGTCCCTGGAGTGCTGGCTCGTTGGCCAGTGGGATTTAAAAGCTTGCTCCCACACATCTACCCCCTGAGCTCACAAACACTGCGGGACCATGCAAGGGAACCTGAGAGTGCTGGGCTGGGAGCTCCAGCCATTGGGAAAGACTCAGAAATTCTTCCAACAGAGGGACCATGGGGAAGCCAGAGCTCGTAACTGGCCTGAAAAATCCAGTAACTGATGGACACTGGAGCAGCCTGGAGCAAGGGTATAGTGTCTTTATGGGGCAGGCACTGGGTGGATGGCACAGCTCTGTAGGGCAGACATCTGCAAGCACTGGGGCCGGGAGCACAGCCTGGTGCCTCGGTCACAGCCAGCTCTTCCCAGCCTCTCTCCAAGCTGGAAAGCAGAGCACTGGGTGTGGGAAAAGCAAATGAGGGGATGGATGAGTGCCTATCCTTTGCAGGTTGTGCTCCATGATTAGGGAAGCCTGGTGGGAGCTGAGCCTCCAGCTAGTCCCTGGAGTGGTTTGGATGCCACATCAGCACACGCAGCTAAGGAGCTGCTGCTATGGCCTGGTGGGATCCCAGCAGCACAGCCCCGGAGAGCCCCCACATCCGGCACTCTTACCTCGGGCCGTGGGGATGTACTTCTCCAGGACACTGATGTAGAGCTGGAGGGTGAGCTGCGGGGTGGAGCCCAGGAAGGCCTGGATGACCGCCATGCGCTTGAAGGCGTTGCGGTGCGTGGCCAGCCGGCGCTCCGAGTGGCCCACCTCCTGCTCCATCTCCACCTCGTAGCCCTTCCGCAGGTGCCGCTTGCGGGTGATGGTGACATAGGGCTCCTCCTCCCTCCCCGACCAGCAGCAAACCACCAGGGCCTCCATGCACCTGTGGGGACGTGGCAGCTGTCACGCCACCAGCCTCTCTGCTGTCCCCTGGCTCAGCTCCCAGCACCTCCAGCCCCCCTTGCACAGTGCCAGCTGGACCCTGTGCCTGCTGGGCACAGCCCAACTGGTCTGGGCAACTGTACAGCAGAGCTGCGGGCAGTCCCCTGACCTGGGGAGTCAGGATGAGGGCAGGGGGACACCAGGACTGCAGGGATGCCTGGTGGCTGGTCCTCTGCTCCAGCACTCAGGGTGAAGTGTGTGGGGCAGAGGGACAGCAACTGTCTCAGCAAGGGGTTCAACACCTGCTGCAAGAGGTGCAGCATCCAGGGTACAGAGCCTGTAGCTCTGCTGTGAGCTATAGCTACAGCAAGGGGTTAATCTCCCTTGGGCTCTGTTTTCCCCATTGGCACAAAATTTATCTCTTCCTCTAAGCAGAGGCAAGAGAAACTTTCTGGTACTGTCTTTGATCTGACCCCTTGAGCAGAAGAAGACTTCTGCGCTTCCTTCTTGGTGGGGAGGGCAGGAAGGGGAGCGCAGGGTGAAGCCGCGTGTGACACGGGTAGATAAGGCCGCGCTTCCGCAGCCCCTTCCCTGCAGGGAGCCTCACGGGCAGGCAGGGGAGGTGGGTTTCTCCCACGCTGCTCCCTGCTTCCAGGCCAGCAGGACCCCCAGCCCCTCAGCATGCAGCCAGGAGGTGGGTGTGCATGGGCCAGGGGTGATCAGCAGAGGACCCATCCAACAGGCTTGGCTCCTGCTGGGGGACAAGCTGGCTCTGGGATCAACAGGATGTAATTATTGATGAGCACTCAATTAGGGCAGCAGAAGATGCTCTGTTTCAGACCCAAATGGAATGAGGGGTTTTTTGGATAAATTCTCTTGCCAGACCTGCATTTATGGCTCACGGGAAACTCTAATGGGAAAACAGTTTCATCCAAAAGGCTCAGCTTTGAGGGCAGTCCCAGCTGTCTCCTGATGCCTTGCCAGAACTTCTCAACAGCCCAGGCTCCATCTCCAGCACGAGGAGGCGGATGAAGCAGCCCCCTCCCAGCAGCTCTGGCTGGCAGGTGCAGGCAGCCAAGCACCATCCGAACTGCCTCAGACCGCTGCGGTGGGTGCGGGCCACATCGTCACACGCAGCTAAGGAGCTGCTGCTGTGGCCTGGTGGGATCCCAGCAGCACAGCCCCGGAGAGCCCCCACGTCCGGCACTCTTACCTCGGGCCGTGGGGATGTACTTCTCCAGGACACTGATGTAGAGCTGGAGGGTGAGCTGCGGGGTGGAGCCCAGGAAGGCCTGGATGACCGCCATGCGCTTGAAGGCGTTGCGGTGCGTGGCCAGCCGGCGCTCCGAGTGGCCCACCTCCTGCTCCATCTCCACCTCGTAGCCCTTCCGCAGGTGCCGCTTGCGGGTGATGGTGACATAGGGCTCCTCCTCCCTCCCCGACCAGCAGCAAACCACCAGGGCCTCCATGCACCTGTGGGGACGTGGCAGCTGTCACGCCACCAGCCTCTCTGCTGTCCCCTGGCTCAGCTCCCAGCACCTCCAGCCCCCCTTGCACGGTGCCAGCTGGACCCTGTGCCTGCTGGGCACAGCCCAACTGGTCCGGGCAACTGTACAGCAGAGCTGCGGGCAGTCCCCTGTCCTGGGGAGTCAGGATGAGGGCAGGGGGACACCAGGACTGCAGGGATGCCTGGTGGCTGGTTCTCTGCTCCAGCACTCAGGGTGAAGTGTGTGGGGCAGGGGGACAGCAACTGTCTCAGCAAGGGGTTCAACACCTGCTGCAAGAGGTGCAGCATCCAGGGTACAGAGCCTGTAGCTCTGCTGTGAGCTATAGCTACAGCAAGGGGTTAATCTCCCTTGGGCTCTGTTTTCCCCATTGGCACAAAATTTATCTCTTCCTCTAAGCAGAGGCAAGAGAAACTTTCTGGTACTGTCTTTGATCTGACCCCTTGAGCAGAAGAAGACTTCTGCGCTTCCTTCTTGGTGGGGAGGGCAGGAAGGGGAGCGCAGGGTGAAGCCGCGTGTGACACGGGTAGATAAGGCCGCGCTTCCGCAGCCCCTTCCCTGCAGGGAGCCTCACGGGCAGGCAGGGGAGGTGGGTTTCTCCCACGCTGCTCCCTGCTTCCAGGCCAGCAGGACCCCCAGCCCCTCAGCATGCAGCCAGGAGGTGGGTGTGCATGGGCCAGGGGTGATCAGCAGAGGACCCATCCAACAGGCTTGGCTCCTGCTGGGGGACAAGCTGGCTCTGGGATCAACAGGATGTAATTATTGATGAGCACTCAATTAGGGCAGCAGAAGATGCTCTGTTTCAGACCCAAATGGAATGAGGGGTTTTTTGGATAAATTCTCTTGCCAGACCTGCATTTATGGCTCACGGGAAACTCTAATGGGAAAACAGTTTCATCCAAAAGGCTCAGCTTTGAGGGCAGTCCCAGCTGTCTCCTGATGCCTTGCCAGAACTTCTCAACAGCCCAGGCTCCATCTCCAGCACGAGGAGGCGGATGAAGCAGCCCCCTCCCAGCAGCTCTGGCTGGCAGGTGCAGGCAGCCAAGCACCATCCGAACTGCCTCAGACCGCTGCGGTGGGTGCGGTGAGAGCTGTGACAGCACCACGGGCCAAGGTGGGCTGAGGTAGACCCACAGCCCTTCCCAGGGCTGGCTGAGGAAGCGAGGCTGCCCGGCCACCCTGGAGGATGAACTGTGGTGAGGAGGATGTTGCTGGCACCCTGCTTGTTTCCGGTGATGGAGGAAGCGCGGCGCAGGCCGTGGTGCTGGTGCAGCTCCGTGGGCACGGCGTGCCCTGCAGCCTGGCTGCCAGCTGCCCTCAGGAAGGAGCCCTGCAGAGATGGTGGCTCCCCCGTGCTGCCCACTGCACACCCGCGGCACTCCAGCTGAGCCCGGGGTGACAACAGCCCAGGGAGGCACTGCAGCATTCCCAAGGAGTGAGAGATCAGCTTGCAACATCCACCTCCTCACCTTCCTCTCCCCACAGGGTCTGGTGGCCCCCCAGTTCCCAGGCTGGCCCTGCTCCTGCATGCAGATCCTCTCCTCTGTGTCCCTAAAATTCCACATGTCCCAGACCGAGAACCTTTTCCAGGGGGCAGATCCCCAGCTCCTATTCACCCTCAAGCACCTCAGTTGAGATTTGCATCTGTACTCCCCTCCCAGCTTAAGCCAGACGATGGCAAAACCCAAAGGCAGAGGGAACACTGGCTCCAGAAAGCCACCGTGGGAAGAACCTTTGGGGCAGCTGAGATTCAACAGGCTGGGAGGGCTGAGTCCTGCCCAGAGTGGGGGTCTGGCAAGCAGAGAGGAGGCAGCAGCAACCCCTGGCTGGCTTGGCAGACTTGTGGCACCACTGGGGAGGGCTGGCCAGGGGCAGCGGTGTCCCCAGGGAGGAGGGGGACAGGGAGCAAGCAGCTCTGGGCACGCTGGGGTTTGCTGCACAGGCAGATTTCTGCTGGCAGCCAGTGCCCAGAGTGCCCTGCCCTGCCCTGCCCCGACCACGGTCCCTGCCC